AACATGTTCATCTTATTATCTAACATATTCATCTTATTATTTAACATAGTCATCTTAATTTTCAACATATTCAATGGTTTAAGCAACATATTCATCTCATAATGCAAATTGTTCATCTTAGTATATTCAATGTTCATCTTAGTATATAACATATTCATCTCATAATGCAACATGTTCATCTTAGTATGTAACATGTTCATCTTATTATCTAACATATTCATCTTATTATATAACATAGTCATCTTAATTTTCAACATGTTCAATGGTTTAAGAAACATATTCATCTCATAATGCAAAATGTTCATCTTAGTATATTCAATGTTCATCTTAGTATATAACATATTCATCTCATAATGCAACATGTTCATCTTAGTATGTAACATGTTCATCTTATCATCTAACATATTCATCTTATTATATAACATAGTCATCTTAATTTTCAACATGTTCAATGGTTTAAGCAACATATTCATCTCATAATGCAAAATGTTCATCTTAGTATCTACAATGTTCATCTTTTTTTTTTTTTCACACACACACACAGGAGGATTAATACTGGTTTCCCAATTCCCCTCCCTGTGACTCGAACTCGGGATTTGGGATACGCCGAGCGAAGTATGCGCCACTGCGCTAAACCCTCTTCGTCTCTACAATGTTCATCTTAGTTTATAACATATTCATGTTTTTATATAACATACTCATCTTATTATGTAACATGTTCATATACAGGTTCATCTTAAGATATAACATATTCGTTTTATTATATAACATACTCATGGTTTTTGTACATGGTTTTTATCATGTATTGATTGCACCATGGAATTACCATAAATTAATCGTGACCAACGCGTTGGTTTATATGCTCGGACATGAAACTCTTGCGAAACCACTCATTGATGGTCGTTGTAGCAGACTCGATTCTCTCAGTGTTACTTGCAAAACGAACAAAGAGACCAAGATGTTTCTCGTCAACCAAATAATCGATTAAAAACTAATCCAGTATTGGGGTCCAATGTAGGTCGTACAAATAGTCGGCCTGCACTGCACCAAAATTGGGAGCAGAGCTTTGGGGCCTTTCAATTATAATTATTTTGAAAACTCAAGTGTTTGTGTTGATAGTTTTACGAATGTGTTTGTGTTAAGTGTAGTGGGGGTGCTTAAATAGAAATGAGTTAGCCTCTTTAGCAAAGGCCACAAAGATGAAAAAAGACATAAGATATGGTCTTCCATGACATCAAATGGAATGAATTCATGTTTGTAGAAAAAGCTGAAAGGTAGCTATAGGCATGCATTGACATGTCATATCATGTAACTTTGAGTAGTCATTTGGTGCATATGGATTGAATAGAAAATAATTGGTAGCAATAGTTGGCTCACCAATTAAAATACATCATATAGGTGAAAGCATCACTAAAAACAAAAATACTGATAGGTTCAATCCATCGCCTCAACATCTGATAGGTGACAGGCTAAATACATCAGTTACGAAAGTCGTTTTTTTTCTTTGAAGC